TCCAGTTTCAGGGGATCTGACATCCTCTTTTGGCCTCCTTGGGTACTGAGCATACATGTGGTGTACATGTAGATAGCAATTGTTCAGTTTTACCAACAAAGACCTGGGAGCCAGATGCTGGAGTGTAAGCCTGCTAGCTCAGAGAGGGAGAGAAAACATCCAGCTGACCTTCCCCCTCAGCCGACATCTCAGAAGCAATGCCCCTCTCTCACTGTCACAAAAAGCCTCCTTCAAGCTGAATGTCCCTCCCTTCTACTTCCTGTGTGTCTCTCTATCCATCCTCCTGACTCCCTCTAACCCTCTATGGTTTTTTCTTAATAGTCTTATGTTCACTTCCTGTCAACTGGTTGCTTGTTCCTCCTCTTGACCTATGGTTGACTTTATTTAGTCCTGTTTGCAAAAGTCAAGCAGAAAGCTCTGGGATTAAAGGTGTGTGCTGAGGTTAAGCCACACTACAACTAAAAACAGATTTTTCCAGGAAATAACACAGTGTGATCAAATATCCTGCAACACTTATATACTTTTTTTTAAAAAAAACAAGGTAAAAAAAACACTATAGCAATGTTGTTTTAATATCTTTTTCTTTTAAATGAATGAGGCAGGGAATCCCTGACTTCTGAACCTCCACTTCTATCTCCTCAGTGCTGGGATTGTAGTCCCGAGCCACCAGGTTCTGTTTCTGTGACCTCTGCTGATCAAATCCGGGACTTAACATGTTAAGCGAGTACTCCACAGAGCCACACCCTTAGCCTCATCGCTTAAACTTCTCAACAACCTGTTTTCATTCCCAGGATGCTGCATTCCGTCAAATGAGTGGCAGGCTGTGTAGAGGAGGCTGGTTGTGTAAACAGAGAGGGGCTAACCAAGGGAGAACAGAGAACAAAAGCACATTGAACACTTCAAAGTGGCTTTCCTTGTAAAGTTGGACGGGACGGAACTATGGAAAGAGAACTGATTAGTTAGCACTGGGTTACAGGACGGGACACTCCACCCCCACCCTTAGGAATCAAACTCAAGGCCTTATACATGCAAACTCTACTATGGCACTTCCTGTACTGTCCATGTGTGTGCCGTGTGTGTGTGTGTGTGTGTGTGTGTGTGTGTGTGTATAAGGATTAAGACAAAGGGGGCTTCATTATCATTCTGACTGAAACAGACCTGTTCAGGAAATAAGGCTATAAGGCTATTATCTCATTTTTTCTGGCTTTTTAATCTTTTGGGTAAACAGTTGCGTTTTATTTGATAATTGAAAGCTTCAGACAGGCTCTCCTGTAATTTCTCATGGAGGTGGGGTAGGGCGGATATGAGTACATGTTGGTGTATGTACATGTGGCCGGAGGGCAGAGGTCAACTTAAGTGTTTTAAATTGCTTTACACCTGTGTGTGTGGGAGTGTGTGTGTGTGTGTGTGTGTGTGTGTATCAGAACAAAGTTTGTGGGAGTCATCTCTCCTTCCAACTCAGGTCACAGGGCTTGGCAGCAAGAACCTCTACCTCCTGAGCCAACTCCTCTTTCTGAGACAGATCTCCCGCAGAATCTGGAGCTTGTGGGCTTGGCTAGCTTGGCTCACTACTTTCTCCGAGAGCTGCAGACATCAGCCACACACACACAGTGCCAGCTTTTTCCATGGGAATCAAGGATCCAAAGCCAGGTCCTCATGGCTGAATGGCAGGGACCTACCTCATCGACAGTGGTCTCCACAATCCCAACCTCCTGACATTTTTACTGAGCAATTTGAACACTAGTTTTGAGGGTTTTTTTGGGGGGGGGTGGGGGGAGAGGTTATATTTTTACAAGTAGAATTGTTAGGTCACATGGTGATTCTATATGTGTAACTTTTGGAAGAACCGTACCCAATTTTCCACAGCGGTGGACCACAAGTGTTTACACTCTTGCCAGCAATGGAGGAGGATTCCGATTTCTGCACAGCCTCATGACACTTAGGGTTGCTTATTCAGATTCTGTGTTTTACCTTCCACCCTCTCAATACAGATGGGCTAGTGCCTCATCATAATTGCGTGCATGTGCGTACATGCACACACAGATATACACGCTGTGCTGTAGCTGTGTGTTTGAGCATATATATGTACATGCATGTAGAGCCCAGATGACCTCAAGTATTGTATCCCCCCAGCTCTGGCTGCTTTGGCTTTTAAGACAGAGCCTTTCATTGGCCTGCTATTCTCTGGCTAGCAGTGAGCCTGGAATTCTCCTGTCTCTACGTCCCCAGGGCTAGGAGAATCCATTTTTCTGGTTTTGTTTTGTTCTATTATTGTTGTTTCTGTTGTTGTTGGCATCGGTGTTTTTGAGCTGGGTTCTTTTATCTTTGGCTGTACTGGAACTCACTCTATAGACCAGGCTGGTCTTGAACTCACAGTCAGCCAGCCACCTGCATCTGTCTCCTAAGTGCTGGATTAAAGGCATGTAACAACTTTTCACATAGGTTCTAAGGATCAGACTGGGGTCTTCATGCTTGTTTGGTGACCAGTTCCTGACCCAGCATCTTCCTAGCCCCTCAGAGGGAGTAGGAGTTTTAATCTGCATGTTATATGTCTGATGTGTGTTTAGCTCCTTTGCTTTGCTTCCCCCCCACCCCGCCCAAGTTCTGATAATTGAACCTGGAGCCTCACATACATCAGGCAAATGGTTTTCCACTAAGCTGTGGCCCTAAGAAGCCCCGTTTTCTGTCCGTGTGCAGTTAGTTGTTTGCTGGGGTATTTCCTATATTCCAGACACTCAGTCTACACATGAAGTGTGAATGCATGAGTTGCTAACATGGAGAAGTAAAAGAATGTTGTTTTTACTTTAACTTCCTTGTTCTCTTATGAAAACAGATCTGGGCTTGAATTTCCCACACAGCGACTCTCTAAGTTGAGGCTGTGCTTTGTCTCTGGGTCCTTCACAGCACCCACTTGGCTCCAGTCCCACCTGGCCGCAGAGGGCCTTGGGTTTTGCAATCCCCAATCGAAGCTGCATTGTTACTTTTCTTTGATTATTAGAGAGAGATTGACAGGCTCTCCTCTGACTCTATCAGCGTCTCCCATCCTCATGAAGAAACACACATTTCTCTTAAAAGTTCTCCCTCCCCTAGTTCTTTTAAAGAACATAAAAAGAGAGAAGCAGCTATGCTTTGGGGCCAGGTGTTCAGGGTGTGTGCAGAGAAGGAAAATTGCTCAGGCCTTCAACTTGCCTAAATGACTAGGGTGGGTCCTCTCTTCATGAGCAAATTATACTGGTATGAGTTTCTAGAACTCTTTTTTTTTAAAAAAAAAAACATTTTATTTATTTATTATTTTATGTTTTGTATGAGCGGTTTTTCCCCACCTCTGCGCATACATCTTTGTACCACATGCCATGCAATTCTTTTGGTGGCCAGAAGGGGGCGTTTGACTTCCTCCAGGAACTGGAGATAACAATTTGTTATGAGTTGTCCTGTGGGAGTTGCAAATTGAACCCTGGAACTTTAGAAAGGACAGCCACGTGCTTTTAAGTGCTGAGCCATCTCTCTAGTCCTGAGTTTCTAGAACTCTTAACGCTGGAGAAACTGCTCTCCCCTTAACAATGCTCTACCCTCCTGTGTCACTTGGTAGAAGTACGGAGAAAATGACAAGGAGGTTAGATATTCTCTGATGATCGGACTTCAGATGAAAACAAAGAAGAACGTCAGGCAGAGCGGGCCTGACAGTAACATGCGGCAGTTGCGCTGGTTTCCATTTCAGACGTAGCTGTTCCCCATCCTTTCTGACTCCTGGCATCTTTGCTGATCAGTCTTCTCACCTTGAGACTCCGTGATCCTAATTCTCACCTGTTTTGCATGATCTTGTTACATAGTAACTGGAGCTGGCCTGGTATTCACATGTAGCTCAGGCTGGCCTCCTCTCATCAGCTTTCCAGCTGCTGAGGTTCCAGGTGCGTGCCAAACAAAACAAAACAAAACAAAAAACAAAACAAAATAAAAAAACAACCTGTTCCCTGAGGGTGATGGAAAGGAGGTGGAGTTTCTTTTCCAGGGACAGTCTGAGTTGGCTAGTGTAGGACATCCTTACTGGGGCACCAGTGGCTCTTCTGTAATCCTGTGGTGCTTGAGGTCACCATACTGTCTAAGTACTGTGGTCCTTTTCTAGATGCAATAGCCTCGCTTTGCCACAGCATCTGAAAGTGGGAGCCTGAGGATGCTGCCAGAGGAATGCGGACTCTCTTCTTTTCCAGGCACACAGTTCTTACTCAGCCTTTCATCAGTCCCTCCTAGTGCCACCATCCAGTCCCTAAACCCCTTGCCTATTCTGTCTTTGGACTTCTGTTCCAAAAGAGATAAACTGGCCCACTGAGGAACCGAGAAACCCAAAGCCCTGGACCCCAGCTCTGGGTCCAACCATGGACTTCACTGGTTCTCTTGGAAGAACCGTAGCAACTGTTGGCCTCCGGGAGGCAGGGGCTGGGGCACGGGTCAGTGTCTCTGCATCAGCTTCTCCAGTCACCCCCTAGGTACCTCATCACTTCCAGGAAGGTACAGGAGGCCCTTTGGCCCCAGCTTAGGATAACCTGGTCCCCAACCTGCTGCTTGGAGGTTAAGCTTGTGATTAGGAAAGGAGTGTAAGAGAGGATAGTCTAAGTTTACAAGATCTGGGGAGGGACTGAGGCTGCAGTTTGAGCTCCAGCAGAGAATGAAACTGGATGTGGTAGCGCATGCTTGCCATCCTAGAAGGTCAGGGACATCCTCTGCTAAATCATAGTGAATTTGAGGCCAGCCTGGGATACAGTAGACCTACTCTCTCTCTCTCTCTCTCTCTCTCTCTCTCTCTCTCTCTCTCTCTCTCTCTCACACACACACACACACACACACACACACACATACACACATACACACACACACACAATCTAGAGAAAACCTGTCAGTCCTCAACATACCAACATATTGTAATCAGCTAGACTCCTAATTAGCTAAGTGGGCCAGAGTGTTGGTGCTAGGCTGGCCAGTCCATGGTTCCTCTCTCCCCACAGCTCTGGAACGGTGAACTGCACCAACCCCTTGCCCGTCGGTGGCCTCAGCTACATTCAGGGCCACACCGACTCCCATCTTGTGAACACAACTGTGGGCGAATGCCTTGATGCCACAGCACAGAGGTTCCCCAACAGAGAGGCTTTGGTGAGCCTCCATGAAAACATCAGGCTGAACTTTGCACAGCTCAAGGAGGAGGTAGGTACTGACCTAGAACCTTCAAAGAGCAGCTGCTGGTCCCTAGATGCTATAGGTGGAGCTGGAGAGTGGGCAGGTGGCCATGGGGCAGTGTGACAGGGATGCCCGAGGACCCCTCTGTGGGCGTTAAGAGACAGAGGGGAAGTGATCTAGAGACCTCCTGTTCCAGTACTTCCTGGAATATTTGTTTACTGTGTCCCCACCTTCACCACACTGAGTCCACCAAGGCCTGGTGATCTTCGCTCCTGATGAGTCCTGGGCTAAGATAGAGAGTAGAATTCAGGGGTCCCTCCTGCTTGTCTTCACCTTCCCTGTTGTCCCCTTTTGCTTGTACCAGGTGGACAAAGCTGCTTCTGGTCTTCTGAGCATTGGCCTCCGCAAGGGTGACCGGCTGGGCATGTGGGGACCCAACTCCTATGCATGGGTGCTTATTCAGCTGGCCACTGCCCAGGCGGGCATCATCCTGGTAAGAAGGGGTTTACCTGGCACAACTGGGTATGTGGAGGGATGTCATTGAAGGGGAATGTCTTAGATACAGAACGAAACCAGTTCTGTCTGGCTTCACGCTTGGTGGTGCTTTTGGCCCAGGCTCACCGAATAGCCCCGGCTGAGAGTGGTGTGCTGCCTTGCTCCTCCTGAGGGGAGTGGTAAGAGCATGGAGCATCTTCCCAAGATGCTAGCATATTCTCTCTGTTCCCCCAGGTGTCTGTGAACCCAGCCTACCAGTCCTCAGAACTGGAATATGTCCTCAGAAAGGTACTACTTGCTCCTGGTGGAGAGGGGGCATTTCTGATGCTGTTTTGTAGAGGCTAATTGGATGAGAAAGAGCATGCTCAGTGGATAGCATTATGGAGTGTCTTTCCTCAGGCTTCATGTGGTTGGAAGGTCTTAGCTCCACAGAGAGGGTCAGTCATCGACTGATATGGATGTCATGGGTGGAGTATGTGTATCAGGGGGGAGAGAGAGAGAGAGAGAGAGAGAGAGAGAGAGAGAGAGAGAGATTATATGTGTCTAGGAATATGGTGTGTATGTTTGTTTTTGGACTGGGGTGTGTGTGTGTGGGTGTGTGTGTGTGTATGTTGGAGTGGAGTACATGTGGGTATATTAGAAGCAGTGGTTTGTACGTATATGTGTGTGTTGCTACATGGGTGTGTCAGGTTAGCTATTCATATATATAAGAAAGAAAGCTACTGATTACTGAGGGCTTCTAAGTCTGGGGCTTCCTGCTGACCACAGATAGGGGACTTCTTCTCTCACAGGTAGGCTGCAAAGGTATTGTGTTCCCTAAACAATTCAAGACCCAGCAATACTACAACATCCTGAAGCAGATCTGTCCTGAGCTGGAAAAGGCCCAGCCAGGGGCCCTGAAGAGTGAGAGGTGGGTATGTCCTGCATTTTGGGAATATCATGTGACATCTCAGACTCTTACCTCCTACCCAAGGTGGAGCTGTTGTCTTCCTGGGCTGTCTTTTAACCATTTGTCACTCTCTTCTCTGTCTCCTAGGCTCCCAGACCTGACCACAGTCATCTCAGTGGATGCCCCTTTGCCTGGGACCCTACTCCTGGATGACGTGGTGGCAGCCGGTGGCAAGGAACAGAACCTAGCCCAGCTTCGGTACCATCAGCGGTTCTTGTCCTGTCATGACCCCATCAACATCCAGTTTACTTCGGTAGGACAACAGTCTCCAGTTTCAATTTGTGCCCTGCCGGGAGGCCCCTCCTAAAATGAGGGAAATGGCTGAAAGATAAGTGCAGCCCTCTCTCCTCACTCTGGCCTCCAGCCCTCCTTCTGCCTCAGAAAATTAGCAAAATTAGCTGCTGGTGTTTTGGGGGGTATTTTGTTTGGTTTTGTTTGGTGTGGTCACATCTCCCTTCTGGGTCCTGTTGCTTCCAGTACAGAGAGCAGGTTCACACAATTACTAAGCTCAGAGAGCTCATTAAGAAGCTTCAGGCCCAGAGAAAACGAGATAGGGAGAGAGAGAGAGAGAGAGAGAGAGAGAGAGAGAGAGAGAGAGAGAGTTCCTAAACCTAGTCAGTGGTAGAGCCCTCTGTGCCACCTTACATGACATGTAAACCGGATGAAGGAGGTACTGCGTTCTCTTTTGCATTCTGGATGCTAACATCTGGCCCTGCACAGCTTATTGTGCATAAACAAAAGGAGGAAGTGGACTCAGGACAACTACTCTTCTGACTCTGCCCCCAGCCTGCCTTGAGCCGTGTGGCCAAGGATAGGAAGGAAACAGGGAGAAAAAGGACAAGCTGTCACTTGCTTATCTTCTTAGGGGACAACTGGAAACCCCAAGGGGGCCACTCTTTCCCACCACAACATTGTAAACAACTCCATCCTGATAGGCCAGCGGCTGAAGATGCCCACAAAGGTAAGGTTGGGTTGGGCCCTGGTGAGGTTTATGCAGGCTGTGGGGGAACAGCTGGGCAAGGAGTGAGACAGCTTGCCGGCTCCCCCTGCTGGCCGGCCGGGAGAACTGGCTCCATGATAGACCCAGCCTCCTGTCTCCATCTCCAGACCGCAGAGGAGTTGCGCTTGGTCCTGCCCAGTCCCCTGTACCACTGCCTGGGCTCCGTGGGGGGCACAATGGTGTCTATGGTGCATGGTGCCACCCTCCTCCTGTCTTCTCCAAGCTTCAATGGCAAGAAGGCACTGGAAGCCATCAGCAGAGAGAAGTGGGCATTGGTGGACAAGCCACCTGTGGGCTGATAGGACCCCTCCAAATCCTCACTCCTGGACCAACCTTCCTTCTCTAAGATGCTTCCTCCCTCTAGCCAGGAGACCTGGGATGGGTGGGAGTGGGGGCTAGAGGACCAGGTCCCCCCTCTCTTGAGCTTCTGTTCCCCACAGTTTCGGCCCTCACTGAGAGTTCATGAGGGGTGGGGGAGAAAGGGGTTCCTCTTACTTCTAAACCTAATTTTGTGTCCTTCCTTTGTGCAGAGGCACCCTCCTTTATGGTACACCCACGATGTTTGTGGATATTCTGAATCAGCCAGACTTCTCCAGTTATGATTTCACGATCGTTCGTGGAGGTGAGGTGCCGTCAAAGGCAGCAAGGTTTGGGGAAGGTCGTTCTCCACAGCCCCAGTAAAGCCAGGTTTTTATAGAGGAGGCAGGAAAGACACTGTAGAAATAAATATAGATGGGAGGGGACAATTCCCAAGTCTCCCTGAATGCTGAGCCAACCTCAGTTTTTACGTGTTTTACCAATGCACAGAGTCTCTCTCCTTTACACAAGTAAGTAAAAGGGGTCTAGCAAACCCTTAAAAATGGAGAAATGTGTTAGCTTCTCTCTCCCCCCATCTCTCTGTCTCTGTCTCTCTCTCTCTGTCCCTCTGTGCCCCCTCTCTCTGTCTCTGTCTTTCTTTCTCTCTGTCTCTGTCTCTGTCTCTTTCTCTTTGTCTCTGTCTCTGCTGCCCCCCATTTCTCTCTTTCATACTGAGGATAGAACCCAGAGCCTCCTGAATGTTAGGCAAGTGTTCTTTTTGTTTTGTTTTTTGTTTTGTTTTTTTGTTTGTTTTTTTTGTTGTTGTTGTTTTGTTTTTGAGACAGGGTCTCTCTGTGTAGCCCTGGCTGTCCTGGAACTCACTCTGTAGACCAGGCTGGCCTCCAACTCAGAAATCTGCCAGTCTCTGCCTCCCGAGTGCTGGGAGTAAAGGAGTGCGCCACCACCGCCCGGCGTAGGCAAGTGTTCTATGACAGAACAGTCCCCAACCTTCCTATTTTTGAGACAGGGTCTCTCTAAGCTACCCAAGCTGGCCCAGAATTCACTCTGTATCACTCTGTATTCAAAGTCAGACTGAATTTGCAATCTTCCTGCCTCAGCCTCCCAAGTAGCTGCCATTACAGGCGTCTACCGTCGATCCCACCAGCTCTTCTTCCTGATCCAGGTGTGATTGCTGGGTCCCCAGCACCCCCAGAGCTGATTCGAGCCATCATCAACAAGATGAACATGAAGGACTTGGTGGTGAGTGGTAATTAGAGCCACCGTATGGAGGGGACTTGCCAGGCCCGCAATGAGTAGGGACTGACAATCCAGACCAAAGATGAGCTTCCAGCTTATTCTCTGCTCCAGGAAGCAGAGGGAAAGCAAGGCGGTGTGAGTTATTAGCTAACACATGCTGAGGTACAGGTGAGAGGAAGTGAGTATTGTACACACATACATTTATGTTTATAGAAATCCGGGAGGAAATGCAGCACGGGAGGATGTGCAGCCAAGCGCTACTGGCATCCTGTTAGCACGTCCTGGCAGACAAGGACTGGCAGAGCTGGGGCATGGGCCTGAAATTCTTTCTGGCAATCAGGGTGGGTCAAGGGCCTGATGTTTGTTTCCAAATGGCAAGGGAGGAGGGAGCTGAGGAAGGCGGTAATGATGTGGTCATCCCAGTGACCACTGGACTTTAGTTCCGATGGACAGGGGGTAGGAGGTTCTGAGAGGAGCCATGGCAGAGCCCAGGCACAGTGGCTAGGGACGGGGTCTGTGTCCTCCCTAGGACCCCGCTGGGTGGAGCTGAGGTGGTGATAGAAAGCCCGGTGCCCCCTGCCAGGATGTACCTAGGTGTGGGGCAGCTCTGCGCATCCGCAGAGGCTGTGGGAGAAGGTGTGGATGGTGGTGGTGGGGGACATCAGTAGTCTTTCCAGCAGAAGGCAGTCACCAGGACTGGCTGGATCAGGACCTGCAGTGAGGGAAGATGGGTATCAGGATCCCAATCACCTAGAGGCATCAAAGGGAACCAGGGGCGTCCTAAGCCAAGCCCTTGGAGAGGACATCCAATCCTCCCCTCTTTTTCTTGTAAGACAGAGGATTGCCCCTTCAGGGGTGGTGTCATGAGATATACCAGCACCCCATCTGGAATCTCCAAAGGCAGACAGTGGTGGCCTCCCTACCCGGCCCTTACCTGTTTAATGGCGGCCAGCTTTCTTGGACCTCTTGGTGGGGGATTTACAGCTGCGGAGGGCATCTGTGTCACGAATACGCTGACCCTTGAACTTGGCTGGTGAGGAGCAGGTAGCATCCGGTCGAGAGGTCTTGGCTTCCAACCACCTACAGAGACAAAGAGTTGCTGGGCTTGGAGAAGCTGGGTAGGAAGGCCTGGGAAAGGGACAGTGACCAGGATGGACTACGGCCCTAGAAAAATCTGGAGTTGACATCTTCATTTGACAAATGAGAGAACAGAGCCACTCAGTGCCTGGCCTGCTAGGTAGCTGACTAGGATATGTGCCCAGGATGTTCTACTGCAAGACCATCACATGGAGGACAAACTGGGGTATATGGAGGAATATTCTCACCGCCGAAGGCCACGGAGCTGGCAGGTGCATTTCCACGGGTTGTTGGTGAGAGTGAGGGTCTCCAGGTTGTCAAAGGGGAAGGTGGAGGGCAATTGGTTCAGGCGGTTGTTCTCCAGATGGACGTGTTTCAGTGTGGTCACACCCGCGAAGGCAGCATCTGAGAACTGTGAGGAAAGGGAAGCAGAGTGAGCCCCTCAATCCCAGTCTCCAAGCTCTCCTGGCTCTCTTCTCAGAGGACCAGAGTCTTTCCCTGGAAAACAAGCATGGGCCTGTTGAGGAGCAGCAATTTTCAAAGCAGAATGATCGAGTTGTCTGAATGATGTAATCCACAACACCTTTTTTGAGAGGGAAGGAATCCTTTCCAATGTGTAAATGGAAAAAGGTTCAGTCCTTTAGCCAGGGTCACCTAGCTAGTAAACAGTAGCTGCAGAACCACACCCTGTCCCCCACCTCCTAGGCAGCACCCTCCCTGCACAAACACTGGGTCTGGGGAGCAGCCAGAGCTTGGCTCTGAGTGCCCAGGCAGGCACACAGTGAACCTGGTCAGTGTTTGGTGGGGTGGGCAGTGGGCCGAGGCTCCCCACATCCCCAGAGACCCAGACCCCCAGTACTGTCCTCATTGCTCTTCTGCTCTCTGTGAGATGCTATTTGTGGATGCCCCTCAGTGGGGACTTTGGCCAGGATGGATGGCTCCAGAGGAAATGTATTGGTGCCCTCATCTGAGCCCTGGTGCCAGTTTCTCCCTGGCCTCCTCATTGTAAATCAGCCTTCGTGTGCTGTTCTATTGCCCACAGTTTTGGCTCCAGGGTGGTTTTCCAGCTGGAGTGAGGCCAGACTAAAGAAGATCCACCCAGAAGGCTCCATTTACCCAGACAAAGGTTAGCCTCTGCCCAGGTTAGCTTCTGCCCTCAGCTCCATATCTGTAACCTCTCACAAACCAGATCGGGATGTGACGTTCTCTACAGACAAAACTGTACTCTGCCTTGCTCTGGTCTCTTCCCAAACCTTCTGGCTAAAACTGTGTACCAGGGTGATCTTCTAGTTCCCAGAAAAGGATTCTGCTCCTGTACAGCCCCCACCAGGCTAGACTGAGAATCCCTGGGGAGGAAGGACTGAGGAGTCAGGGATCTGGTGACTGGGGAAAGCAAAAGTCAACAAACTGTCTAGGGGACAGTGAGACAGTCAGTCTGTGCTCTGAAGAGACACTTGAGGGATTGTGCCAAGGATCGCATGTGTTCAGTCACAGGCTGCATGAGCACCAAGCCAGCAACTTAGTGAAGCCAAGACAGTTCTCCGTGTCTTGGTTTCCCTACTTACTTGAAATGGACCCGAGGTTGCAATAAAATTGAGCATGTTTGGACCCACGGAGGGAATGGGACATCCATCAGGGTCTCTGAGGGTGTGGAGGAATTCTCCTTAAGGTACTTGTTCCCCAACTCATCCTCCAGCCTCTCATTTTACCTTAGCACCACAGGTCAGTGCCCACCAGGAACAGGGTTTCTTTGTGTTCTCTCAGCTTCTGGAAGGTGCCTCAATAGACAAACCCTCCTTTATGGGATGGTAGGCTTGCCAGAGACTGGAGGGGTGGAAAGCCCAACAGGAAGAGTATCTGCTGTTCACCGTGGGGTTTGGGGCAGATGCCTCCCTAGGGGCCATTTGTGGGACCAGAACAGTTCCATCTCTTATAAAGAGTCCCGAGAGCACCGCTGAGAAGCAGCGTGACCAGGTGAGGGTGAGAGGGATGGAGAGGGGGTGTGTCAGAGCAGAGAGAGGTGGCAAAGCCCCTTGCTTTGGAAGATACTCCGAGGGAAGAGTCCAGGAGGAGGGAATGCTGTCCCGATGTGGTACTAGGGTGACACCCCAGAAGCCAGGGCACTCACCTTCTCCAGGTTGGTGTTGTCCAGCCAGAGGGTCTCCAGGTATCTGCCAAAGGACTGGAAGGCATTGTCTGGGATGCTCTTCAGAGGGTTGTGGGACAGTTTCAGCTCCTCCACCACCCGAAGTTTGCTCAGGGCAGCTGAGGGGTAGCTAGACAGCTGGTTCTTGTCCAGGTGAAACTTGGCTAGGTTCTCCACATCATCCAGGGAACCAGGCTGCAGGGAACTGAGGGCATTTTCTGACAGGTAGAGCCAGCGCAGGTCCTTGGCACCCTGGAAGGCACCAGCACGCAGCTCTCGGATTTTGTTGTTGTTGAGCTGCAAAATGAAGAGGTTGACCAGAGGGGAGAGCAGCCCCCGGGGCAGTTCTGATACTTTGTTGTGGTCTAGATAGAGATATGTGAGTTCAGTCAGGTCATCGAAGGCTCCAGCTCGCAACACCCTGATGTCATTGTGGGACAGGTACAGGTAGATGAGCTGCTTCAGGCCTCGGAAGGCACCAGCTGCCACCTCGCGGATGTTGCAGTGCTGCAGGTGCAGCGAGACCAGGTTCGGCATGGTCCGAAACGAGTTGGCAGCCAGCACCGGGAAGTTGTTGCGCTGGAGGTTGAGCAGTTTGGTCGTCTCTGATACCTTGGGGATCTTCTGCAGCCCCACCTTGTCGCAGATGACATGCTGCAGATCTCCATGGCAGTGGCAGTTTTGGGGGCAGGCGGCCAGCGCAGGCAGGAGGATGGCCAGAAAGACCAGACTGAATAAGAGCACCCGGGCCATGGTTGGGACGCCTTTAGCCGGGAATGGGGGCTAAGGCAGCGACAAGTCCTCGACTCTCGGGTCTCCCGGCCCATTTATAAGGCAGCCTTGACCGCAGCTGGCAGCGGAGCCAGCTACTACGTGGAGCATCGAAGCCACTGATTTAACCCCCTCCCGCCCAGAGATGCGCCCCTATCCTTGGTGACTGGGGGCTGTTTTCACAGGAGGAGACCATGTGTAGGGTTGAGGATCCTTCCCTTGAACCCCAACCCTTCATTCCTGTTTGCAAACCTTATGCTGCACCTTTACTGCACCTCTATCTGGACCAACACCCTGAGATGGGGGAGACGGCGATAGGTGTGACGAGGGGCCTCTGAATTTCCACTGGGCAGAGGGAGGTGTTCCCAGAACTTATTTATTTGCTCAAGTTTGAATCTCTCGGTTCCCTTCCCCCATACACCCTTGGCAGACAGGTCATCCTGGACTCCGGGAGGGAGGAAGTGGGGCCCGACAGCCGGATGCGTCTCACCGCGGTCGGCCAGCCGGCGGCGCTTTAATGGGGCTGTTGTGCCGCGCAGGCGGAGCGTGAGAGCCGCTGTGGGTTGGGCTCCCGCTTTTGGCTAAACCTTCCTCAGTTCATCCCAAGGAGGTGGGGGGAACTGGTTGATGATGCTAGCTCACAGTGGTGCGTTTGCCTCTGCCCCTTCTCGGAAGCCCGTGGCTCCAGGCCTGTAAGAGCTCCCGGTTGTGGGCTTATCCACGACCCCTCTCTTAGCTCTGGGCTTCCTATTCCGTCCTTTGCACCGTCATCCCCTTTTCTGGGGCTGAAGGCTACATAGAACTTCGGGAGCTGGTGTGTGTGGGGAGTGAACCACAGGATAGGCAACACACCTGGAGACCTCAGGCCGCTGAACAAGCATGGTTGCACAGTCTCCTTCTTAATCTCCTCCCAAATATCCACATCTCCGGATCCTCCCCTCACCCCGGTGGTCAGGACCCACCCCTAAGGGGGGGGGGTCTCCGAGTGGCGGCCTAGTGGCGCCAATGTGTACTTGGCAGAGACCAAAGCTGGGCAATAACCCCAGGACTGTGTGAGCTAGTGGGAGGTGGGGTGCTGGCTACAGGCGACCAACCCTGGCTAGCCAGATGCTAGGTTGTGGGAAGCCACACCCTAGTGGACCAGGCTTCTGTTCACTTGCCAGCCACAGTGTCTGGAGTCCTGTGGAGAAAGGAGGGTGAGCAGGCAGGTTACAGCTTTGGCCCAGGGTGAGCTCTGGGTTGCTTGGCCAGAGATGCCGTCTGTTTTTGGGAGGTGGTAGAGGAACCATACCTCAACTATGCCAGAACCACACCACCTGATGGTGTGCAGGAATGGAGGCCACCAACAGAGACCTGGGAGAGGACAAGGTATCTAGACCGTCTCATAACATGCAATACATAGGTGTGGGGTTTGGTCTCCAAGCCTGTACTTCCTTAAGCCCCTCTTACTCCTTGCCTCTAGAATGGTGTGGGGGGGGGAGGGGGGTCATTCTTAGCCAAGAATATTCTCTGATGGTATTTAGGTTGGCTGCTAGTTTTTCTGTTGCACAGGATGTTCTAACCACTGGAGGTTGCAGGTGTGTGTGAGTGCGTGCGTGCGTGTGTGCCACAGGCCTTTTAAATTCATGCTCTGGCTATATTTTTGTTTTGATGAAAATAAACGCACAGGAAAGTCTCCAGTGTTTGTGGGGCACCCACCCCTAAGGCCAGGCACTTGTCCCAGGTTGAAGGGGGAGTGATGTCTGTGTGTCTGTACCACTCCCGGCTCGATCACAAGCAGGCTGCCTTTCTCATCAAGTTTATGGGGCCTTTGGCTAGGAAGAGAGGGACAGAAGCTGTTGGGGCCTGAAATCAAGAAAGTAGGACCAAAGCAACCTGGAGACAGTGAGAAGAGCTAAGGATGTGAGCAATGCCAGAAGCCACAGGCATCATAGGGGCGTGTCGGAACCCTGGCTATGAGAGACTGGCTTCTAGTCTCAATTTGGTTTCAGACCAGCCCCCCCCACCCCCCCC